TACATGCTGGGAAAACAGCGGACAATACAAATACTTTTGGAAATCTTGGAAGGTCTCTACCGAGCGCAAAAGACAATACGGGAAGTTCGCATACCGGGCTACGTAGCGACTTTGGCACAACTACCACGGCGTCGATAGGGGACACGCACATCTTTTGGGGACACCAAAAAAAGGTAGTCGAAACATGGTTGTCGAGGCGCGGACAATCCATACACTCTTCTAGCATTCTAAGACACTCTTTGAAATAGTTTCCTTAACAAAGATTTAACCTTATTGTTAACATTCTGAGACACTTTTGAAATAGCATTTCTTGGGGCCCTTGCTACCATGGAGAGGCATTTCGCCTCCACCTACTTCCCTATGGACATTTCTGGTGCTTGCTACCAGCGCAGAGGACACAAAAAAATACTACTTTGTGCCTACCAGTAGAAAAGGTAGTCGAAACATGGTTGTCGAGGCGCGGACAATCCATACACTCTTCTAACTGCTGACCTCCGTTTGCGGTACAAAAATATCTGCCTACGGGTTTGGTACGGGTAAGGTGGACAAATCGGATATTTGCCTAAAAGTCCGTAGAGTTGGCTCGAATAATTCCCGAGGGGGCCGCCGTTACGTGGGGGCAGGTAATCCCCGGCGTATTCCGAATGGTGACCGCGAGTCCCCCTTACTGCTGCTGCATGAGTCCTGTCTTTTGAGAATTTTTTTGAATATCAAATGTAATCTAGCTGTACATCTAGGAAATAGTATCAGTATAAAATGCTAGATAAATTTTATAATGAATTGCGTAATGAAAACGACTACGTAAAACGACTATCCCAAATTATATTAGAATAAGGAGAGACAATGTGGATGTAGATGGACAATAATGTTTTTTATTTACTCTGCATTTTTAAACGCATCTTGTGCATTCATTAGTAAACGGAACTGCATACTAGTTAGTAAATTATAAACGTATCCTTTTACATTCAGGGAGTTACTAAATCAATGACCTCCGATTTTGCACGTGTATGGTATTTTTATTTTTATTTTTATAAAAACGCAATAATTTTCTCTTTTGTGAAATCTATAAATTAGGTTTAAAGGTTCCAAGAAGGCTTAATTCGACCTACACTAGATTATTTCAGTGTGCCATGCTTATCGGTATTTGATAGTCAACACTGCTAGTTATCATGGAGTTCCAAAACCAGTATGTCAAAGTAGCTGGAATATGCCTGATGCCAAGGTTGCATACTAAACGGGTTTAGGAATATCAAAAGAAGTAGAACCACGGAAATATTTTTATTCGCATTCGTTTTGTGGAGGTATACCATCAGGGTCAATGGGGAACAGTGTGTGATGGTAGATGGGGCATGGATGATGCCAAGGTTGCTTGTCGTCAGCTTGGTTTTAGCAAAACTGTAGGACATTCGTATTGGGGACAAGGGACGGGTAAGATATGGCTGTATTGGATGCGTTGTTCAGGCTCAGAGTCCTCACTTGGAAGCTGTTCTCATAATGCATGGGGAAGCGTTTCCTCTTGGTGCAATGGTCACACATACGATGCTGGCGTTGTGTGCGTTTGTTTTCGTATGGTCATAATATCAAGCAATACTTAATAACACTACTGCTTCCTCTATTGATCCTGCGAGTTGTTTTTCACCAGCGTCGGATGCTGTGTCAACGGTAACAGAGACAGTCGAACCTTTCAATGAAATTGGTGCAACAACTATATATATTGCGTGAGGCAAATCTTCTTCCTTATTTCTATCTTCAAGTGTCAGCTGCTATAAATTCTTTGCAACACCTCCGACTTTTAATCTTGGAGAGGGGAGCAACAAAGACTTTCTATTAAGAATAACTCATTAGCTGTTTATCTATGGGTCACCAGTCCATTAAATTAAGTCATATGGTTGCAAGTTGTAAAAATATTAAATCAAGAATCTTGGATAGTCTAGAGCTCTTGGAAAGTCTGGAGCTCTTTAGCAAATTACCTTCGTGTAATATAAAAACGCTTATTCGAGCTATGACCTATATCAACAAATTGTGAACAAAAGAATCCTAATGTAGAATCTGGCAAAGACGTTTTTTTGTCCCACTGCCGAAGGTGCCTAGCGAGGTATCGATTATAGGGAGGGGGAATTATTCGTATTTGTTCTTTTGATTCGTAATTACGGCCAATTATTACTATTTTCATGAGGGAATAAAAGTTTAGAAAAGAAAGGAAAAATCCGTGTTGAATTCTGGTAACAGTAGTTAATGAAGCTTAGCAAGCTTATTAGAGAAGCTATACTTGGTCAAAAATTGAGATAGTCACGTGTCACTTTCTCTAACGTGGGTTAATTTTTTTCCAGGCAGGTTAATGCAGGGTGCTTCCCCAAATTTTCCTAGTCCAATGGTACAGTGTTTGTTCCAACATAAACAATGTTCCAGCCAAACGCAAGTTTAACTACCTAAGTAATTACTTCTGCTAGCAATTCCGCTATACATCAATGTCCACTCCAGACGATTCAGGCACTCTGATCAAAGAGCTTCAAGATCAACCTAAATGACATCAAGTCTGTGATAGCTCATCTATTTTCGGAAGATATAGCGTAAGATAACATGTGTCTACCCTCGTGCCCATCATTTCTGCGAATTTTTGCCAATTTTATTTGACGGGTTACCTGTGGTAGCGTTTTACAATATGGCCGACAGTGCGATTAGAAATATAATAACGAATATTCTAGTTCAGGGACCTTCTCTGACTTTTTACAGTATATATGTTTATGTTAAAATTTAAATCTCTTAAACAAATATAGTCGTTACGAGGTTTATGTTTACAAACTATCAAAATTAAATCATTTTAAATAATTAATTTTTATGTGAATGGAAATAATTAATTTTAAATCCAAACAAACCTGGATCTATTATTATTTAAAGAAAGCACATTTATATATGAATCATTGTTTGAGGTCGTTACTTTGTTGATCACCGTCGAGATTGGTAGGATCAAGTTTGGTTGCAAGTTTTTTGAAATTGTTTCACAGTTTTTCGATTCGCTGACCCTCACACCCCCCGAGTTCCGCTTTTCGATCTCCCGCTAAATGATCGATATTACTTCGCCAACACTATTTCGTGTACATAATCAGTGATTTAGCCAATATATGAACCAATTATCTGTTGTTTTTAACGCCCTTTAACGACGTCAAACTCACTCTCTTCTCAGGCTTATCAAAACTGATTGTATTTGATTCAATCGAAACACAGGTATTCTGATCTAATAAAAACCTTGTGATATGAATTATATTTAAGAGAGGATGTCAGCAAAAATCGAACATACGCCGGCAACAGTCGAAAAATCGAATTTGCTCATATTTTAGTATTAGGAAGACCTTGATGCGATATAAACCGTGGTATACTTCATTTGCCAAAATATCGCTTTATTTCCGAGAAAAACGAGGAAAACCAATTTGTG